CTAATGAGAACAGCATTTTCATCTAATGAGCCCAGCATGTATGTCCAATGAACCCAGCATGTATGACTAATGAGCCCAGCATGTATGTCTAATGAGCGCAGCATGCATATCTAATGAGCCCAGCATGCATGTCTAATGAGCCCAGCATGCATGTCTAATGAGCCCAGCATGCATGTCTAATGAGCCCAGCATGCATGTCTGATGAGCCCAGCATGCATGTCTAATGAGCCCGGCATGCATATCTAATGAGCCCAGCATGCATGTCTAATGAGCCCATGCATTACTGTTTTCGACGTCATACTAATTATACTCGCGGAAGTAAATAACGACAATCAATATACATTACAAATCTCTCGTGTGGGTGATATGGACCACCATCAGACCTGAGTCTCATGTGGGGGACAAATAAGACCATCGGTTGAATAAATAAAATTTTTATACACGATGGAATAATTTTTGTCTTATTATCGTATTCAATATTTTCACGTTACCTCGATTCTACAATCAGAATAGAGATTTTGCTGAAATTACATATCGCGTGATCATAAGCTTGCCTTTATTCATTAAACAGTGAAAAAAATAACAGCATGTTATATTATTTAATATTTAACATTATTTATATATTTATTTTTTAAAAAAATAACAGCATATTATTATTATTATTTCACTAGTCATCATTTTAGTTGCGTTATATTCCCGTTGAAGTGATCACTCTCATCATAGTACTGACTAACAACCTTGAAAGCCTTGACTTAAATGAAGCCTTGTTACGTGGAGGCCATGATATGAAGTTTGGCCAACGTGGTTTCCATTGACTGTAATGTGCTGTCTATTGTCTCTTAATGTGGTGTCCATTGACTCTAATGTGGTGTGGTCCAACGTCAGATTGCAGTTAAAAGACATAATATTACAGCCAATGGACACCACATTACAGTCAATGGATAGCACATTACAGTCAATGGACACAACATTACAGTCAATGGACACCACATTACAGTCAATGGACACCACATAATAGTCAATGGACACAACATTACAGTCAATGGACACCACATTACAGTCAATGGACACCACATTACAGTGTACGGATATTACAGTTTATAGTGTAAACATTACAGTCCATTAATACCACATTACAGTCAATGAACACCATACTGCAATCAATATACACCATACCACAATCAATGGACACCATACTGCAATCAATGGACACCAAACTACAATCAATGGACAGCCTCTAAAGGAGCCTGCCATTAGCTCGTTAATCTCGCGCGAGGTGACCTCAACTGCCAAGCCTTCGCTGTTCACTTTTTCCTTCGTTTAAATGGAGATGAGGGAACAGAGTGAACTTGTGTCACTTGTCCTGAAATAAGCGTCACATGCCACGCCACATGCCACGTCACATGCCACGTCATATGCCACGTCACATGCCACGTCACATGGCACATCACATGCCACGTCACATGCCACGCCACATGCCACACCACATGGCACATCACATGCCACGTCACATGCCATTGTCAAAGCTACGCCAAATGCCTCCTTACTTGCCATGAATCGTGGCCTTCTTTTCCGGTCGTTCACTCAGTCGTCGAGGCTGGTATTATTCTAGTAGTTCGTCATAATTACTTAACCCTCATCAGTAAGATACGCTGTAATAATTAATTAAGGACATTATGAAGTGGTGTATATTACTGAAAATAGCGTAATATAACAATAAACAATTATCATTAGTATTTCCGGTAGCAATTAGGGTATCTGAAGAAAGCAATAATTATAGGTATACACTGCAAGAAAAATCTCAGTTAAACGGTCACACCGTCGTTCTAGTGGCCGGTCGACACGTGAAAAGAAAACACCGTATTACCCTTTTTATTCGAATTAAACAATAGGAAACCGTACAACATCTGAAAAAACGGATAAATGGTTTAATTTCACGTGGCAGCCGGTCACTAGAACGACGGTGTGACCGGTTTTTACCGTTTTTTCGAACAGTGTAATTTAGTTGAATTAGGTTGCAAAGATTAGTTCAAAGTAGTTTTGATTAGGTGTTAATTAATGTAAAAAATCGAGCTTTTCGACAATGTGCTGCAAGGAAGTATCACGGAGTATCACGCAGTTCGACAGGTGCAGCAGCTGTAAGAAGTATCACAGAGTATCACGCAGTTCGACAGGTGCATGAGCCCAGCATGCATATCTAATGAGCCCGGCATGCATATCTAATGAGCCCAGCATGCATGTCTAATGAGCCCATGCATTACTGTTTTCGACGTCATACTAATTATATGCGCGGAAGTAAATAACGACAATCAATATACATTACAAATCTCTCGTGTGGGTGATATGGACCACCATCAGACCTGAGTCTCATGTGGGGGACAAATAAGACCATCGGTTGAATAAATAAAATTTTTATACACGATGGAATAATTTTTGTCTTATTATCGTATTCAATATTTTCACGTTACCTCGATTCTACAATCAGAATAGAGATTTTGCTGAAATTACATATCGCGTGATCATAAGCTTGCCTTTATTCATTAAACAGTGAAAAAAATAACAGCATGTTATATTATTTAATATTTAACATTATTTATATATTTATTTTTTAAAAAAATAACAGCATATTATTATTATTATTTCACTAGTCATCATTTTAGTTGCGTTATATTCCCGTTGAAGTGATCACTCTCATCATAGTACTGACTAACAACCTTGAAAGCCTTGACTTAAATGAAGCCTTGTTACGTGGAGGCCATGATATGAAGTTTGGCCAACGTGGTTTCCATTGACTGTAATGTGCTGTCTATTGTCTCTTAATGTGGTGTCCATTGACTCTAATGTGGTGTGGTCCAACGTCAGATTGCAGTTAAAAGACATAATATTACAGCCAATGGACACCACATTACAGTCAATGGATAGCACATTACAGTCAATGGACACAACATTACAGTCAATGGACACCACATTACAGTCAATGGACACCACATAATAGTCAATGGACACAACATTACAGTCAATGGACACCACATTACAGTCAATGGACACCACATTACAGTGTACGGATATTACAGTTTATAGTGTAAACATTACAGTCCATTAATACCACATTACAGTCAATGAACACCATACTGCAATCAATATACACCATACCACAATCAATGGACACCATACTGCAATCAATGGACACCAAACTACAATCAATGGACAGCCTCTAAAGGAGCCTGCCATTAGCTCGTTAATCTCGCGCGAGGTGACCTCAACTGCCAAGCCTTCGCTGTTCACTTTTTCCTTCGTTTAAATGGAGATGAGGGAACAGAGTGAACTTGTGTCACTTGTCCTGAAATAAGCGTCACATGCCACGCCACATGCCNAATCAAGTGACACCATACTACAATCAATGGACACCATACTACAATCAATGGACACCATACTACAATCAATGGACACCATACTACAATCAATGGACACCATACTACAATCAATGGACACCTTACTACAATCAATGGACACCATACTACAATCAATGGACACCATACTACAATCAATGGACACCTTACTACAATCAATGGACACCATACTACAGTGAGGTGACCTCAACTGCCAAGCCGTCGCTTTTTACATTCGCCTTTGAACAGAGATGAGGGAACATTGTGAATTTGAGTCACTTGTCCTCAAAAAAGCGTCAATATCATGCCACATGCCACGCTACAGTCCACGCCACATGCCACGTCACATGCCATCGTAATGCCACGCCACATGCCTTGTCACATGCTACGCCACATGCCATCGTCAAAGCTACGCCACATGCCACTTGCCATGAATAATGGCCATCTTTTCCGGTCGTTCACCCAGTCGTTGGTGCTGGCATTATTCTAATAGTTCCTGTTGGTTATAACTAATTAACGCTTATCAGTAAGTAACCCTTATAAGCAACCATTATTAGTATTTCCGGGAGCAATTAGGGTATCCGAAAAAGCAATAATTAGGTAATTTAGGTGGAATAGGTTGTAATGGTTATGCTAGTCAGTTTTGGTGAGCTACTGATTAATATAAATCATCAAGCTGTTCGACAGGTGCAGCAGCTGTAAGAAGTATCACAGCGTATCACGCAGTTCGACAGGTGCAGCAGCTGTAAGAAGTATCACAGCGTATCACGCAGTTCGACAGGTGCTGCAGCTGTAAGAAATATCACAGCGTATCACGCTGTTCGACAGGTGCAGCAGCTGTATGAGAAGTATCACAGAGTATCACGCAGTTCGACAGGTGCAGCAGCTGTAAGAAATATCACAGAGTATCACGCAGTTCGACAGGTGCTGCAGCTGTAAGAAATATCACAGAGTATCACGCAGTTCGACAGGTGCTGCAGCTGTAAGAAGTATCACAGAGTATCACGCAGTTCGACAGGTGCAGCAGCTGTAAGAAAAAAACTGGCTCCCCTCTCGCTCAAGTTTTAATTAGGCTTACACTCGGCAGGCCTACGGTGTGAGATGTAGCTTTAGGCCGCGGGTTTTTGAACATAGAACATTGTTTCTTGTTAGTTTCATGACACACAATTGAAATTGAACATAATTTATTTTACATCATCAGAAAATATACCTAACATTTTTAAACAAAGGTTGTTTTTGGTATAGGCGTGTATAAACAGATTTTATTTTTCATACAGGCGTTTCTACCGGGCAGCTGCATACGATTTTGTACAGCTGTGTGCAGAACACTATACAGCTGTATACTGAACACTATACAGCTGTGTGCTGAACACTATACAGCTGTGTGCTGAAAACTATACAGCTGTGTGCTGAAAACTATACAGCTGTGTGCTGAACGCTATATAGCTGTGTGCTGGACACTATACAGCTGTGTTCTAAATACTATACAGATGTGTGCTGAACACTATACAGCTGTTTGCTGAACACTATACAGCTGTGTGATAAACACTATATAGCTGTATACTGAACACTATACAGCTGTGTGTTGTGTAAGGAATTTATACAAACATAACTGCTAACAATTTTATTGAGACTCCAAAGGATAAGCTTCGGATCCAGAGAAGTAGAAAACCGGAACTGCAGTGGATGCAGTTGAGGAAACTGAAATTAGAAAAAGAAACCTTACTTAATGAATGCCAAAGCTAGAGAATCGATTTGATCAATTATGCTCAGAAATTCCAATTCAGCGGTACAAAACTTGACAGTGAACGCATATTCCCAATCTAACCTCAAATGAAATAACGCGTACAGCACAAATAATGTCGCGCTGGCTGCACTGGATGCGTGAAGCACACGGCAAAGAGATGCGACGTACGAGAATACACCGGAGGAGGAGGTTATACTGTAAATTGACAGTTACAAACCAAGATTAGATTTATCAGCAAGTGCTATTATATCGTATGCAATTTATCATTATGAGGATCAAGATATATTGAGCAATTTATGCGAAATTAAGTTTAAATATTTCGAGACTAACCTTCTAATTTATTACCGCTGGGGTAAATTTAGAAGTGGCTTGAAAGCCGTTTAGAGGTAGGTGTTTTGAAAGTGCAATTGAGTGCCAAGGTTAGTAAATTAATAAATGACTGGTCGACCCAACGTGACTCGGTTAATAAGGTTAAAGCGCCACAGGGTGTAAAGTTAATAGGCTCGAAAGCCGGCAATACTGCCAAGTTTAATTAATGCGTCAGGGACGTCTTAATGTTGGGTCAAACCAAATAGTAACGTGGCATGCATTAATCATGATAAAGGGCCCATAGCATGCATTAAATCAAAAGATGATAGGAAGTGAAATTGCACTCTGGTCACTGCGGGCAATAC